ATTTTAAATAATGTAACTTATACTATATCCTTATTTTTAAAATTTTGTTTCATTTATTATTATTATTATCCTATAGCTTTGGAGGCTATAATTCTGTAATTTCTTCGCTTCATTGTTGGTAAATCTTATTATCCTGCACATGTAATTCATCCAAAGAAACAAAAGAACAGAAACGAATTATTAGAAGAAGTTAAGCAGGGATTCAATCTATTATTAACTGTTGAAACTAACGATTTGTTGGTTTGTGTGAAAGGAATTCGATTGTTTTTAAACAAAATCTCGAGTTCAAGTTTTATAAATAAAAAAATAAGCGTTGAGAGAGCTTTCTCTTTATAGATCTGACGCATATCAATTCTGGATTAATCAAGATTCATTGTGGTTGCTGAACATCGGGAGGTTAATAAAAAAAAAAAAAACTGTTGAAACATCAACTAAATTTAAGGACTAATTTTGCAATTTACCCACTAAGTTTTTTGCCTGAGAGATCCATGGGCCGTGACCGGATGGAACTCAGTAGGCCTTTTAAAAGGGATAGGCCCAATCCACAAAGAAGCTTCACGCCCAAACCCGGCCCATTCACTCGTCCCCGCAGTCTTCTTGAGCCGGAAGAAAGTCTGGGCACTGAGGCAGCATAAAGCGGAAACCTGAGTTTGAAGAATTGCAAAACCGAAGAGACGATATGAGCAGCATCGGAACAGGATACGATCTCTCCGTCACCACCTTCTCGCCGGACGGCCGGGTTTTCCAGATCGAGTACGCAGCTAAAGCCGTCGATAACAGCGGGTCTGTTCAATTTCTGCTTTGTTTATGTATTTAGCTCTACGTGTTCCGTCTTCCTTAGTGACCTGGACTAGTCTTTTTCTGTTATTTCAGAACTGTGATTGGAATCAAGTGCAAAGATGGGATCGTTATGGTATGCATTACTGTTTCTAGGTTGAATCCTTTATGTAGATTTGTATGTGAATGTAATTTGTGGATTTGGGGGGTTTGTTTTAGGGCGTGGAGAAGCTCATTGCGTCGAAGATGATGTTGCCTGGTTCCAATCGAAGAATCCACTCCGTTCATCGTCACTCTGGCATGGTATTTCATTTTCCTCTTGTTCAAGAAACTCTAAAAAAGAAGTCAAATTTAGTGTTGTTTGGACAGTTCTGTTGCGTTATTCTATTGAAATGAAATGAACTCCCTCATTTACTAGTACTCCTATTTATATTTCTTTTTTTATGGCTTTGAATTGAAAACTCTTCCTATCTCATGTACTCAGGCAGTTGCTGGACTAGCTGCAGATGGGAGGCAAATTGTGGCACGGGCAAAATCTGAAGCAACTAACTACGAGAGGTATTTCAGAAGTGGGTGTGGTTATGGCTACCCACAATCACACAATATTGTTCAAAAAATACTGATTCTATTTGATTTGATTGTTAAGAACAACTAATAATTAATAGAACAATTAATATTTGTTACTTGATAAATTAAAATCAGTTTATAAACTGATAATTTCAGACATCATGACCAATTGTTTAAAAAAAAAATGACAAATATCAATCAAACTGAATAAAGTCTTGTGTGGCCATAACCATGCCCTTCAGAAGTTGCTGTGACATTTTTCCATAAAATTTCAGCTTTCATTTTTGTCTGTGTTTGAATGTTAAACTTACTCTATTATTGAAGAGAAGGTATTCCAGATATTTTGTTGCTTTTTACATGCTCCATCTTATTATGGAGCTTAATCCAGATTATAGGATATCATCATGTCAAGCCCTAGTGTTTAGCCTGAATCTATCTATAAGGTTATGGTTTCTTTCTATTACCGTATGTCTATAACTCAAAGTTCTTATCAAATTGGTTCCTTTTTCTTTTTTTCTCATGAGGTAGCGTCTATGGTGAACCTATTCCTGTGAAGGAACTTGCTGAACGTGTAGCAAGTTATGTGCACTTATGCACACTCTACTGGTGGCTCAGGTGTGCTATTATGTAAATATTCTCTTGATATTTTACATCTCTCTTTATTTAGTTTAGATGTAAAATTTTAAAAACACTTACTGCCGCAGGCCTTTTGGATGTGGGGTAATTCTTGGAGGTTATGATAGAGGGGGGCCTCAATTATATATGGTTGAACCATCTGGTATCTCATATGTAAGTTTATTTGTCCCAATTATGGATTTACTTTTCATTTGTGGAGTGACTCTTCGGGTATTATTTATATTCATCCCTTATACATAATCTTAGATTGAGGTGGTCGAATTTTTATTCTTTATTATTATTATTTTTTAGCTGGACTTCTTCCGCCTCACAATGTTGCTTGATAATTTGATGTAGAGGTACTTTGGTGCTGCAATTGGGAAGGGAAAGCAAGCAGCGAAAACGTAAGTTGGTTTTTGTTTCTTTCTTTCATGTGGGAACATTTGATAAAATGATTATTGCAGTCCTTCAAAATCCGTTTTTGGAGGATTGTTGGAATATTTATTGTGGTTGCCATCTCAACATAATCTGATGCTCGGTTCATCCACTTAAAAATATGTCCTTTGACTCCTTTCCCTGTGTGGAACCCCAACTTAGTCAATTTTAGACCCCTCCAAGTTCCAACACATCTATCATTTCCTCAAGCAAGTGAATTTATGCATGGGTTCTTTGTAAAGAAAAAGATTAATGATAGAAATTTGAATTTTGTTTAAGAAAAGAAGAGGATAAGAAATAGTAGGGAGCTAGATGTAGTGACGTAGATGACAATCATGTTCATGTGCAGATTCAGTTCCTCTCATTTGTTCATTCATAACTGAGGTTAAATAACTAATTTATTATGGTCAAATGGACATTTGTGGACAGAGAAATCGAAAAGTTGAAGCTCTCTGAAATGACATGCAGAGAGGGGGTTATTGAAGTTGCCAAAATGTGAGTATGCTTTTTTTTTTTTTTCCTGTAATATGCTTGCCTTTAGAGGTATTTCCTATAGTCAAGAGTTTGTCTTTCATGGTAGTTTTAGATTCATTTTGTGTGTTATTCTTGGGCAGCATCTACAAGGTACATGATGAGGCAAAGGACAAGGCCTTTGAATTGGAAATGAGTTGGGTCTGTGACGAGTCCAAGAAACAACATGAAAAGGTAATATCTGATACTCTTTTGGAAAAGCATTTTTGTAACGTTTCCAACTAGTCTAGAGCAGTAGAGGTCCTAGTCCTAGATGAGAAAAGAGCTTTGGTTAATTTGGCTGAAGCACGTTACTCTGTCTCCCCCCTTCTGGATCCTGAGAATATTAGTCTTTTACTAATACCTCTTGATGTTTAGTAACTTCATTTTCCTCCTCGGTGCTCACATCTTTTCATATGAAGATATTTGAACGCTGAACCTGTTTTTCCCCCATTTCTCTCTCTTAACCCACATTATGTGTTAGTTTAGATTGAAGTATTGCTGTAATTTTCATTCCACTATATCTTTCTCTTTTGGCAATCTTTCAGGTTCCTGACGCACTGTTAGAGGAAGCAAAGGCTGCTGCTAGAGCTGCACTGGAAGAAATGGATGCTGATTAAGTTTTACCGAGAGCTTGTAATCCTCATGTTTTGATCTTCTAATCTTCACATATTTCCCGTTGTCAAGAAGCCGATGCTGATGGTTTTATGTATGAATGAATTCATTGCTCAAACTCGTTTCCCCCATATTATATTTATCTCTTTGTTTTAGGAATGTACCATGAATTTGACTCAGATCCAATATCAAGAGTCATCGGTTGCAAAACAAACATAGATATTGTTCCTACTCTTGACGTATAGCCTTTTAGTAATTGCTCCATAAACAGATCCAATAGTATTGCTTAAAAATTGAAATTTTCAATACGCGAGCAAATTATTTCGCACAATATTTATCAGTATGCATCATCATATACAAATTTAAAATAACTGTACTTGATTATAAGATAGATTAAAAACAGTGTAAGTACATTTATTTCAGCCGGAACACGACCATCATGTACTGATGTGTTCTATACATCTGCAGCCCCTGACCTAATGAAGCATGGGCAGCAACATTTGAATTTGGAAAAAGGTAGATAATTATGTTTCATGTCAAACTAGACCATTAATTAAGCCTATAAAATAATCAAATTGAGAGGCATAAATTAAGCCTATAAAATAATTAACCCTTTTGAGAGATTTTGTTGGAATGAAATTTGTTGTCTCCAAAATCTCTCTTTCTGGCCGCGTGGCATATAAGACTGCGAAGGCGTGCCACTCACTTTGCCCAAAGTGAGAAAGAGGGATTCCCAGTGACCCTCACTACTTCCAAGCGTGGAACTCGGCTGCGAGTCGATGGAAGAGCACCGGTTAAATAAATTATGAGATGCGCCCTGGTCAGACGATTGT